TACATTACGATTTCTGGTCAAGTTTGTTCTTAACAATAAAAACTAGAATTTCGTCCAGTGTCTGTTAGTATTTGGCAATCACCCGATCGCTATTACATTTTTAGTACTTATAACAGCTATAAAATGGTTACTTTGGAAATGGGCAACAACGCAGAAACACTTATAATTTGCTTTGGTGCACATGAAAACGATACATGCAAAGTGTCGTATAAATGATTTTTCTTCTCTTACTTGAGTGAAGTAAGAGTGTGTCATGCAATGTCGTGATAGCTCGGAGGTTAAGACGCCCACTTCTCATGTGACTTTTTCCGAGTAATATGTACTTTCTAAGATTATTTAGACAATACTTACAAATGATGAAGAAAAACATCGTGAAGAAACCTGGACCTATTACATAATAAGTTTGAAATTGCCAACCCGCAATGAGCAAGTGTGGTAATTAATGCTCAAACCTTCTCCTTGTGAGAAGAGGCTTTGCTCAGCAGTGGGCACTTATAGGCTGTTGATGACGATGTCACTCAAGCAATGCTTTATTCCGTGTGTAGGCAAAACCAGCCCGTCTCCATTGTTCTCACTGCGACGACACGTACGGCTTGCCTCAGAATGGTACAGTCCGTATCTATCGGGAACTCAAGTGTCCTCTCGATGACTTCGAGCTACTCTCTTGGTCTACAGGCAACAAGGGCAAGAGCTTCCCTCTCTGCCCGTACTGCTACAACCATCCACCGTTCAGGTAAGTTTATAAACATTTATTCGATTTCTCTGATTGATTGGTTTATTGGTGCTGGCCAATCAGAGCGCTGAACGCGAAAACTGGCCTCAACAAAGCCTTAGTTTATGATTCCGTCAGTGTGAAATATTGAACATTTCCTTAGTGGCGCACGGTCCTTGAAAGCTGTGATATTATAGCCTGAAAACTAAGAGTCAAGTTTATTTTGGTATTATACGGTGCAAAATCAAAGCGCGTCGAAGTGAAAATGTATTCAAGTCGCGCTCATTGGTATGCGCGCGCAATCGCACGGGTTTGAACAGATCCACCCATGTCTTTTTAAGTCTCTTAAAGTAATGTGAGCATTATGTTGTGGAGATGTGGTTGAATTTGCAATGTTAATAGTTGGATTTTGGCTTTAGTACGCTTCATCTTAGTGTAAATTGATCGTGAATGACATAAGAAATATTTTTCTTATTTTCTTTTTATAAAACAGTGCAGGAAACTCATCGACGTCTTACCTTATCTACAAATATGTTACTTTAATAATTTCTACAAGTTTCTATGTGCCATTTGTTCCTAGGGACATGAAGAAAGGTTTCGGTTGTAATTCGTGCACGCACCCGACATGTCCTTACGGCGTCAACTCCACGGGAGTGTCTGGCTGTGTCGAGTGCGAGTCTGGAGTCCTAGTACTGGACCCCTCGGCGCCCAAGTGGAAACTAGCTTGTAACCGGTACGTGCGAATATAGATTATTTTACTTTAACCCATCAAGTGTCTTATATATGCACGGCTTATTATTACATGGTTAGCGGAAGATTTGCCTTCAATACTTATCTAGTCAATGAGTTGTATTCTACCTACGAATTCGGTACTTGCCAACTAGTCAAATTCAATACTTTTTTCAAATTGTCATAAACGACAGTTTTCTATGAATTTGGTACGAGATTGTGTATTGTGACGTCGCGTTTTTTTAGCATCAAGCAGCATACTTATTTTTTTACAAATTTGCTGAAAAAATACTGAAAGTCATAAAATCAATTAATGAAAGTGTGATTATTTTTTTATATTTTATTATATTGAACAGTCGCAATAATTTATTTTCAATAAGGAAAGTACCAATTGTGACACCAACATCATAGAAATGGTAAAACTGGCTGGCCATAAACATACATTATGTCTCGCGTAGACGCATAGCAGGGGTTGAAGAATTGATAAAACTTCCAGTTGCGACGTGATAATAAACGTGTTCGAGGACGCGACGCGCGTGTCGGTGTGCGAGCAGGCGTGCGCGGCGTGCGGCGCGCAGCAGGTGGCGGTGGAGTACCGCGCCGAGCGCACGCGCCTGCCCGCCGCCATCACCGAGATGACGGCCTGTCTCTACTGCGAGCCCACCTTCAGCGCACTCGTACGTACTCCATTTTACCATTTATTTCACTACAACCTCCCATCCCCAATCCTTCTACATCTCCAATCCCCCTCCATCACCAACAAACCTTCATACAATCAATCTTCAACCTCTATTCCCAATCCCCTCCTTCCCTAATCCCCCTCCATCCCTAATCCCCCTCCATCCCTAATCCCCCTCCATCCCCAATCCCCTCCTTCCACAATCCCCTCGTTACCCAAACCCCTCCATCCCCAACCCCAACCCCCTACTTCCTTATTCCTCAACCATCCCCAATCCCTTCTATCCCCAATCAACCTCGATACTCAATCCCTCTCCATCCCCAAAGCCCTAATCTTCATATCACCAATGGGCCTAACTCTATCCCTTCTAAATTCTCCAGTAATCAAATCTCCAATAATAATATATTTTATAGTTTCAATAAATACCTATGTTTGTATACAGGTGGAGAAACATCGCGCCGTAGCGTCTCGCGCTCCCGTGTCTCGTGGGCGAGGCGGACGAGCGCGCGGGAACAAACACCGCAACAAACAACCCAAGGACAAAATGGCGCAGCTTGCTGCATACTTCGTGTGAATTACTAGTAATTAATAATTCATCTTTACTTTATTAACTTTCATACTCCAATGAAAACTAACATTTTGTCCTGACTAGATGGCGCTAATGTAGACTTTGGTCTTGTTCAAACTATAAAAAGTGTTCCCTTATTTTCGATTGTACGGTACATTTTTGACGACTAAGGGAATAAGAATTCATGCTACATTAACGTCACTTTAGTGAGAACAAAGAACATTAGCTCTCATTTCTATTAACTAAATACGTGATCGTATGACACTTCACATTTCGAACTTCTAACGTCTCTCTGATACAACATTTTGATACATTATGTATGGAGCTTAAAATTCAATCCAAATCTACTGAATATCATCAGTTGTTCCTTTAAATCGCGCTCAATCTTACAAAGGTATCATTGAGTAACCGCTCCGTTGTTACCTTCCTCGAAAGGTGAGATTTATCGTTTAAACATCTACGATGATCGAATAAGCAAAAAGGTAAAGAGAAAAAAAGGATTTGCATACTATGTTGTAACTAGAAGAAAAAGTTATTAACTATATCTATGGTATGGTAAGTCACTATTTCTATAATGTTACTGATGTTCGATAGAGTTTCATAGTGATTCTCTTTTGATTATAATTTGAGTTCATTTTCCTTTGTCACATTTATACATTTTTTGTATTATAACTCGAGAAACATTAAAATAATTATGCCCTACGGCTTGCTCGTGTTTGCGATGTAACTCGATTTTAGTTGCGCAATGTTGCTCATAACAACTATGAGCCCCTAGCGCGGTTTGAAACTAGTCGAGTTCCCTCGTCAAACAGTTACGTGAGAAAACTGTAGAACGTAATGAATTTATACTTTTGATGTAAAATAACTGACTTATACTTACATAATAATGTATTATTATTATACTATAGTTTTAACTTTAGTATTAAAAATAGGCAACTAATATATGTATGTAGAGCAAATCTCTCTCTATTACATTAGTTTTGTATAAATATGGAATAGAAATGTGTTTTGAAGTAGATTATGTACCTTTGGTATAGTATATCTACGTTAAGTACGATTATAATTATGTTACCTACGAAATTGCTGTTAATTTTTATAGGTACTTACATTTTAGGAAGACATTGGAAAGGACATTACTACCAACCTACCTATTTTTGAACACAGGCTTGAATCATCATGTCAAACTTCAATTATAATATCCGTTTATATTTAATTTTTTAAGAAATTTTGTGAGTATGCTAGTTGACATAAATAATTCGCAAACCTTGTGTTAAATGCGATACCTTCTACGAAATTCAAAAGTAATGAATTTTATTGTTTCACATAAATATTATATTTTAATAACTCCTTTAATAAAACAACATGAATATGTTTTAGAACATAGCCTAAGCGTGTTTTTTGTTTATATTTATTTGTAACATAACATAAGTTAATAAATATATCAGTTTGTGGAATAACTTTTTTTTCTTTTAACAAATTAATAGGTACACTATTTTTCTGGATGTCGCAGCTCATGGAAGGTCGTGTCGATCATTTAAAGAGGTAATGGTATGGTTTCTCATTGTTCTGGCATTATGAACGTGGGTTTAATAGCTGCTAGCTTATTTTCTTACATAGATGCGTATTAAATCTAGAGAGCGGCTTCGGCAAACATTACATAGGCGCCCCTATTTTTTGAAATTTGGAACGCTGGTCTATATTTTCTATGGTCCGATGGGCAAGCGCTCTCGCTCTCTGGCGCCCTGAGCTACTTGCCTAGTTTGCCTTGTTCAAACTACGCTAGTATTTTAGTCGAGTAGCGAATATTCAGTAGTCCTCTCTCGCTTCTGTCCCAAAATGGAAGTGAGAGAGAACTAAATATCCGCAACTCGACTAAATTACTAGCGTAGTGTAAACAAGGCATTAGGGATAATATGACACTGAACTTGACTCTCTTCAGATTCACACACATAAACATTGATTTGAATGAATTGGCTTAAGTAATACATATGTATATATGTATTTGTGGACCATGTAAAGGTTATTTTCATTGTGTCAGTGTCGGATAGTCCTTTGACGGAGGAAGGATACATGAGTTTTTTTTAATTTTGTTTGTCTTGTAAAAAAAATTATCTGGATTCTGTCTACCTTCTGTGCAAGCAAATATTATATTATTTATACTAATAATACTAACCTTATCAAAATTTGTTAGGATTTATATTAAAGATAAAGAGTAAGCTACTTTTTTGTCAATATCATCTGGCTGGTAGCCGTAATAGAGTCATTTTGTTGGTCATAATGTCTTTTCGCAAAACTAATTCGTTCTAAGTCAAGTGTTCTGGTCATATAAGTTGAAGAGAATTATTTCTATTGCTATATTTTTATATATATTATTAACTAACTCATGACAAAAGTTACTAGGGATTTTAGTTGGTGGCGTAAGTACCGCCGTGCTAGATAGATGGCGTTGTACAATAATTTTACTACAAATATTAATTTCGTAATATTTTTTTATATTATAAAGGCTAATTGTTGCAAAAATTCTTAAAGTCGAAAAGTTTGAAGGTTGTTTGCTGTTGATGTTGAAAAGTTGACACATAGCAGTTGATTTAAGTTAGTAAATAAAAGATTTTACGCAATTTTGGGTAATTGATTATACAGTCTGGATATACATTCATTGGGTTGAGAGTGTCAGAAATATTAATATATTATATTTTATATTAATACTAATACTATACTAACACATAATAAAATGTTTAGTACCACCATGCTGGATAGATGGCGTTATTCTACAGATTCTGAAAAGGATAACTGCCTGTGCAAACTTTGCTATTTTTTTTTTATTGTTGGTTGGTTCCAAAAGATGTTAATGGCAAAAAGGTTTTGATTTATTACCGAAGGCGTTTGTTGTTGATGTCTGCAATAAAGAAAAAGTCAACAGTTGCGAGTTGAGTTGAATGGGAACTTATGAATCTAACTTTTGGAAACATATTTATTTATGTTATTATTTTAATACATACTAACATTACAATAATTTTATCAAAAGTCCGTGGCGAAACAAACTTATTAGTTTTTTGTGCCAGGATATGTTTAGCTTTGTTGTGCTCGATAGATGGCGTTGTGCAAATGATTTGTACTATGTACCAGAGAAACTCAAGGAAGCTACTATATTCTTAAAATGCTATAATTTACTCATTACATTAACACCATGATGGTGACAACGAAATGATAGTTAATATCAGTCGATGTTGGCAAAAATACTTTATTTATTATTGAAAGTGATTCAGTATGGTTTTTCATGAAAAGTATTGGGTATTTTTACATACAACATTGAGAAAGATTATTTGTTATTGTAGTACATACATTCACCTATTGTTTTTAAACGAAATGACAAACTCATTCGTAGATTTATTCAAAGTTTATCAGCAGACTGCAAAAAAAGGAAGAGCTTCTCAATAACTGTATTTTTCAGTTCATGAATGAAAAGGTAAAATAAAACAAATAAAATATTGAAGTCTTCATTTTATTGTGAAGGTTGTCACCTAGTATAATGTATAGATACAGTACGACAAGCTTACAATGTATTACTGTATTTTTCATTTTACATATTTATATTACACCGCTCGTACTCGTAAGAAGGCGAACAGTATATATGATTTGTATTAAAAACTGGGACTTAAATGGCTAGAAGTTGCATTGGAGTTTCGAAATAATCATCCCGTATATGTTAATATAGGTAATATTCTGCTAACGACTCCGCTCCCGTTCCTGTGATAAAAATTCCCTCATTCCAGTCGATAATCTATATTCTGCACCAAATTTCATTCTTATCTGTCTAGTTTTTGCGTGAAAGACCAATAAACGTATTTACATAATATATCCTCATAAACTTTTGCTTTTATAATATTAGTTAGAAGTAAGATGGACAAATAAACGAATATAATTGTTACTTAAGTAATAATGGGATCAAGGAAAAATCGAACAAACGTTCGGGCAAACAAACATACAAGTAGCATCAGAGGGCTTAGTACGAGGTTCTCTTTTTTTTCGATTACTTTAAACTTTTCGTTTAAAGTAATCGAAACGAGACGGCGTTCGGTGCTCTGATTGGTTTGCTCATTGGAGCCGGCCAATTACAACGCCGAACGCGTACTCGTGACTCGCACTCGCGACGTCGCGATCGCCGCGACCGCGCACGCTGCTCATGAGGAAGAACCCCTCTGTGGTTTGAAACTAGTAGAGCTTTTCTCAGTATATTCACGTGAGTAACCCGCGATTTTAGTTAATTTAGTATGTCTCACGATAGTTATTATAATTTACAATAGTGCTTGCATATTGACGGTTATTTATAAAGCAGTACGTTTTTCTTTGAAGTTAGCTATGAATGAGTACTTACTGCATATTTTTTGTCAGTAAAAAAGTTGTTAAAAATCGTTCATAATATTAATGGATAAGGTCACACACACATCTAATTTGTTTTAGATAAGTACACATAAGATGGTGTGTTGAAAGTAACCATAGCATTATTTATCACACATGTGTCATAAATTACTGAAATACACCAAAGGATTAGTAAATGTATCGGTTTTCTTTTTCTTCGGTCTCAAGGCTTTAAAAAGAGTTTCATAGTTTTAGTTTTCGGGGTTTTGAGTCGTGATAATAAAAATATACCAATTTAAAGCTGATATTTTGCTAAAGTTTTAGAAAAAAATACAGAACAACACGCCTTTTATCCGCGAAGGGGGAAGGCAGAAGTGTACATTACGTTACGTAATGCCACTGTACAATGTAACACCCAATTTACACTATTTATATTTTGAGTCCCATGTACTATAGGGTTGAGAAAAAATACTTTAAATCATATTCAGACCTTCCTGAATTAATGTTTTTTTCTTATCAAATTGATGACAAACATTGGACCGGAAAGCTTATCTCTCTATATTGCTACAGTCTGAACAGTTTAATTTTGAAAACTGATTTACATGTGCTAACATTGGTTGCTGAGATAGAGTAAATTAGAGGTCTTATTCATAAAAGGGTTTATAGAGTTCAATATCTCAACAACAAATGGTCGTATCGAGGTCTTAAATAGACTGGCTCAACAATAAACTAACGGGTCCTTGGCAGTTGCCTTCATTTGAAAAAAAAATCTCTAAGCCGTTTTTGTTTAGTTTTAGCCTAGTATTACAAGTGAATGTTAAAAGTTATTTGTTTTGAGTAATGAAAAAAAAAATGGTACGATTTTATCATGATGTTTTTTTTTTGATATTTGATGGGCCGACGTTTGACCTCTATCGTGTCTAGTGGTAAGCGTTGATGCGGTCTACAATAGAGCATGTCGTCCCATAAGCAACCTATTCACTCGGGCCTTTAAGACTCCCCCTCGATTAGCAGATTAAGGAAATGCAGACTCTGGCAAAGAATTCCACTCCTTAGCAGATTTAAAAAAAACCTAAGTTTTTCTAAGAATAGGGTAGATGCCTAATTTTTATTTTAAGGTCCGTCTGGTAGATTATATTAGATCATTAGACACGTATTTTTTATTTTCTTACAGAAACAAATACTTACTACGGCATATTGATTTGAAATGTCGCGTGATGTCACTTCTATGTACATTTTATACATAGATAGAAATGACGTTTTAACCCCCAAACCTAAAGTTTGATTCGTTTTATCTAAGTGTTATATACTATTTAGTTCGTCAGTTAGACGGACTAAATAGATTTTTAATTTTCATACCCCGTCATCATCCATATTATAAAGTACTGGCTACTTCTGCGCGATTTTACCCGCTCTGTTTGGCTCTTTTTAATCGTATCATGATGTTTTATAGCCTAGAACTTCCCTCGATAAATGGTCTATAGAACGCAATTTTTTTTTACAATCGCGCCAGTAAATTCTGAGATTAGAGAGGTCAAACTAACAAATAAACTCGTCAGCTTTATATAAGTATAAGATAAGTTTGTTTGGGTTATTCAATTCTTATCCTTCCCAAATATAAACCCGAAATTGTATTTGTCTATTTGTCTTTCTTTCACGTCGCCATAGAGCGGTTTTATGGTATGAATTAGTCTGAATTCCTATGTCCAATTGTGTTCCTGACTATGTAACTATTTGGGTTATTTCTTCATCGTGGGTAAACTATAAAAGGTAATGAATATTAGGTACAGCTAGGCTGTGCTCGGTCGCAATCTCGCCCGTCATTGGTCGAGATTGTTCTCACAATCAATGACATGGCGGACCGCGATCGAATTCACTTTGATCTTTCGGATAGAAAGTTACAGAAAACTCTATAATTGGGTTTTCCTGGGTCATAAATAAATTATTTTGATTTTTCAGTCCAATTAAATATTGAAAAATAGTTACACTTTCATTCATTGATTTGCCGATATACTTAATTTTCGATTTATTACAGCATTGTTTTTAGATATAAGTGTGCTATTTGCACGCGCGCGCGAAAATATTATGACGTCATATGGTGGTATTTCGTACAAAATTCATAGAACAGTATCGTTTTTGACGTTTCGATAAAAGTATTGAATTTGACTAGTTGTCAACTACCGTATTTCCAGTTTATTTCGAAACTCCAATTCATATGATTGATATGAAGATCAGCATATGAGCATTATACTATTGGTAATTATTTACGAGTGCAGCGTAGTGTAGCGAGGTTAGGTTAGGTATGTTAACAAACAAAAACATTTAGCACGAAATCTACTCATTAAGCCAACATTGCTAGGCTGTTTAGGAAATTTCAATAGACAAGAAATATCACTGATGAAAAACATAAGTCATTGTTGACTTTACTTTCAGAACTGATTAATAATGAAATATGATTGTATGGTACACCGTGGATGTTAAAGAGATTTGAAATATTACTAAACAGCCCGAGCCGAATTCCCTAATAAGTAGAAATCGTTACATAAAAATAATATTCTATGCGCTATCCATAATATTTTATGTAAACATTAACAATATGCGTTGTTTATTTTGTATCATAAATACTCATGCTGTGTTGCCAATAATAAAAATCAGACAAACGTATCTCTACCAAATATCAAACGGCCATAAAATTAATATCACAAATGTAAATGAAATAAAAATTGAACAGCAGAATCCTCTTACAATTAAGTGTACCTACTCCTCGATTTAAATAATTTTCAAATCATGCGGGTTTGTGCCAATTTCTATTATATATCACAGATTAAGCCAATATGAAATATATTTATATGAATATGTATGTACACAAGTTTAATCGGAATATAAGGAATGAAAGGAAGATAGACATTCACTTAATATAGTTACGTTATATTTTATGCAGATTTTAATTGATTACTCCGTAGCGCTAACTGAAGGGTGTTGTAAAATATCAAATACACGTTATATTTGTTCGGCATCATTTTGGTCACATGGAGAATAGAGTACCTAAGTATAATTCTATTTGTCTACGTGCAACTTTAAAGTAAGATATCCCAACTTTGTGACAGCGACACCCTGCAATATTCACCAAATAATTATATCAAGCAATTTAAATTACAAAAACAGGAAACAATTGTTACTATAGATTTCCTTATACACTTAAAGAGCAGTGATATGCTTCGAAAACTTCACAACTTGGAATAAAATCAATTTAATGTCCATCGGACAGACTTAATGATCGAAATTATTTTACACAAGTAATATAAAAATGTATTTTTTATTATTATTATTATTTTATAATCGAATAAGTATTTATGTGTGCTTGGTTTCTTATATGTTTTTTACGACATTTGCAGTTTAGTAAATTGGTGTAAATTAAGTCGTTCGGTGTATATTAAAATAATTACAAAATATTTTAGAGAAAATGCCCTTTAAGAAACCAATGCGATAATGCTTTAACTTTGTTTGTATTGTACTAGTTATTTGTTATGTAAGTTATTTTTAATTCAGATTCCATTTCACTAAACTGCAAGCACGCGACTTCGACAGGCACTGACTTATAATGAAGACTTACATACATAAGGTTATTAAATTAATAGGTACGGTAACGGTTGTGCATTATGTATATATATTGGTATATCGTCTCCTAACCGCTACAGTCCAGTAATTAACTAATAGATACAATTCTATAGGACAATGCGACTACCACGCACCCCCTGCACATTTAATATTTTCCGAAGTAGTCTGTCTGAGATTCGTATGTGTATTGAAAATATTAAATACTCAGCCGTGTATTCATTGTTTCATATTTACTAAATCTATAATATTAATTTTAATCTCACTGATTTTGATAACATAATTAATTTCTAGTAGCTTTATATACTTAGCGATTATTTACAGTTTAATACCGAATACTCTCCATCGTTTTTGTTGCTGTGTAGCAACGCTGCCATTTTCGATTTGTTTGTTGGCTTTGTACAAATTATAGGACAACCATTGCTCTTTTTTAATGTTCATAAAAATAAGTCTAATTTTTATGGAAATGTGGTAGGAATTTTTTTCGTATTTCGCATTCAATGTAAAAGAGACTTATTTCTATGACCTTTCTTTCTCTTTTCTTTCGGACTTTAAACTAAAAATGCAGGTTATACTATATGAATCAAGTTATAAGATAAAATGATTTGTAGCTGCACGGTATATTTATCAACTTATCTATGTAAGTACTTATTAACTAATACGTTGATAAAATGAAATTTAAAATTCGTTATTTTCACTTATAATAATTATTTAAAGGAAGAATATTATTCGATTCAAAAGGAAACACGGCTTCAAGTGAAAATAAAAGTGAAATATGCTTAAGCTGGAATTATGTACTTCATTTATGTGACGTGTCACAAAATTTGAAGACCCTATTGCCCCCTCTTTTCGTTTCACAAACTAGTCCAGTCAAGATGACATCGTGATCGTGTATGAGAGATGCAACTTAAAAATTTTCTACGATTTTTGAAAATTGTTAACCATTTAGATTCAATTTTCCATTTTTTTAAGTTTTCCTGCTATAATTAGTATTGTAGTTTAACCACTGCACACGTTTTTAGGAAATATTAAAAGTTTTTGCACATAGGCGTTTTTCTCGCACGTATTTACGAAACATTTTTTTAAGGTCCAATCCAGTCCAATAATAAAAACGGGAACTAATACTACGCTGTCCTATTTTCAGACACCAGGCTGTATCTCATGAACCACGAGAGCTAGATAGATGAAATTTGAACCAATAGATGATGTCCAAATTCTCGTTGGCACTTGGCCGGTTGTTGGCTTCTTGTCTATAAAACTGAGCAAGAGATTAAGTTCGAGTTATCGGTTATAATTTGTTTGTTGGTAGTATTGCAATTCAAAAAGAGATTATTCACTCATAAATGCTGATACTTTCAACTTCTTCAAGTAGGCCTGAATGCATGTAGCATGTCTTATTTTGTATGTAAGCTCAAAAGGAGGTTGAGTCCGAGTTATCGGTTACAATTTGTTTCTTAGTAGTATTGCAGCTCAAAAAGAGATTATTTACTCATAAATGTTGATACTTTCAACAAAAGGAGATTGAATTCCCGTTATCGGTTGTATATTTAGTTTTGTTGTTGCCGCCATTGGTGTACTTATAAGGGCAATAAAATCTCTGCTTAACGTAGTTCTTTCAGTCTAAGTGCAGTGCCCTAAGTTCGAATGCATTTTTCAATGTTTCCTATTTCAATAGACTGCCATTTCTTCCTGTTTTCTTGAACCTGTACGGTACAATTATGGTCCTATTGGTTATTTGAGATTGATTCGATTACTGCAGTCATATATATTGTCAGTGTAGTTGAGGTTTGTCTATTCTAAAATGCCCTAAGGCTTGCGAATCGATTTCCTCCCGCGCCTGTAGCGGTTGCGGGCCCGTAGCCTTTTTTAGATACAGATATGTGTTCATTTAAAACCTGCGGCAGGTTTGGCTTGTTAGAGTAACTGGTGGTTACTGAGCTCCTCTGTGACTAATGTTCTCATAATATTGTTTCCTTTTTAGTAGCGATATAGTTTTTCATACGTTGCTTCGTTGGATTTTTTTTATGTTGGAACATATGAGGTGTAGCGATCAAATGCATTTCGTAATTTTACTTTGAACATGATATATTATGCTTGATAGTGGGAGTGAGGTGAGCCGACACGTAAAATTATTATAATAATAAATTTTATTTGAATATCTAATAAGTCACTTTCTCTGTCTTGAAATTCGGCTGCAAAGTAAACAGCTGCTATTTTTTTTCAATATCGTAGAAAAATATCAGTTTCAACAATCAAATTGACTGGACTATTTCTGATGTTAATATACAATATACGTACAACACATTCTTTAATAAATTAATAAAATTGTATTGTGGAATTTAAGAAAAGGCATGCTGTCGTTCCTACTGGAAAAGATGTAAGCGAAATTAAACAATACTTTACATGGAACTGAAGTATAAGTTTTGGATACGTAGTCTTTCAAAAAACACTAATTTAGTGAGTATTGAACAAATAACATGTATTTGTACTTTGACGTATTTTTAGTAGACAAGGGGGTACTTTTAATATGCCGCTACCAAGTCTAAAACCTCTAACTTTACTAAATGGTCCAAATTTAGTATGAAATGTATAAACGCTGCTATATCAGGTGGCGAGATAGTACTGTGGACCCTTCCAGGAATTATACAATTTGTATGAGAGGCCAGCTCAGTACAATCAATACTGTAAACAAACATAACATTTTCATTTATAACACCGGATTGTTTTACGACAATATTCAAATGAAAAAAGTTGTACCATAATCCAAAACCGAAATATTAGTGGGAGTAAATACATGATGTAATAGGGAATGAAAAACAATATTTGTATGACGTCATAGCTACGGCTCTGTTATTGTCATAGAAATTACAACATTACAATAATTAATCCGAATATTTCCATCGTACCTAATTATTTTGGTCTTGGAGTATGGTCTAATGCATTATATCTATGTGAGAATAATGTTACAATTTCTGTAGGTATACACGAATGTCAGAGTAAATAAGCTATGAATAGCTTATATAATATTGAGCCACTGAAGTATATATTATATTTAATTTTCACTATTTAAAGCTCTTAGTTTTCATTCATGCGAATTCTATTATCGCATCGAATACTAATGCCCGTTGTGCCAAACGCAGCTTTAACGCAGAGCCATGGACTGCACGATATCGGTATATTACTAGCAGTCCACACAGATGACGTGCGAGTAATGTAACTGACACCTGTACATGAATGACTCCCATTAACCCACGTCGCGCGTAGGGCAACAAAATTATTAAGATTATATTAGAAATAACAACTAGTAAACTTTTATAGAGTGACTAGAATATATTATTAAAAAACAAAAGCTTTGCTTTTGGCATTTCGCATAGAGTTTACACACTTTTTATAAGAATTGTATTACACATGTAAATGTCCTTAACACTCACTTACGAGTTTGTTATGAAGGTCACTTGAATGTATGTAAACACTGCACTTTTTAGTGTCCTATGTTTATTATTTAAATGGTCATAATGTTCACTATTTCATAAGATTATAGAACTTGAACCAGAATAATAATTATCATCAGCCCCTAAATATACCAGCAACGAAACCTTGTATCAGCCAATAGTCAAAGAGTACGTACACTATCGGTCCATTAAATGGTCCACACTTGCACTTTCTCTGCTATAACACACCAGCTGGCCTGATCGTAGTATGAAGACACTACGTGGAGACTTTCCACGTACTTCTCGATCAGCTGGTCTAGTTCTCCACGCTTGAAGACGTGGTAGTAGCGATGGTAGGTGACCGCTCCTCCTTCCGAAGGCAGGCTGTCCGACCCATCACTCAAGGAGGGCAATAGCGGTGCGTGCGGGAAGGCACGAGGAGGTGGCATAGCAGGAACCGGAGCGGTATCTTCTGATGATGAGCGAGTCTCCAACAGTTTCCTGTCTTTAGAGCACTCGCTATATGAAGGCAGGGACGCGAGGCTGGCGCAGCCGAGAGATGCTGTGCTGCCCGTTTTGTCACGACGGCTCCAGTCACTTCCTGCCGATGTGTCGCTGGATTCTATCGAGAATCCAGATTTTAACGGAGCTGTACTGGCACTTGAGCGAGATGTTACGGATTCAGGACTTATCTCCATCTTGTCCAAGTCACTTGAATCCGTCGATTGACCGACTTTCAGAGACGATCTCTTGTCGGTGCTGGTGCATAACGAGTCAACACTAATTTCGGATTCTAATGAGTATCCGGTCTCTAGAGATTGACTCGTATCGTATGACGCTCCCGAGTCGATCGTTATTTCGGGATTGCCGTTACTTGACGATATGGCACTATCGTCGTCTGGGTTTTTAGCGTCAATGTCCGGCAGTTTTTCAGTCAATACTGGTTTCGTGTATTGGACGTTGGCACAATTGTTGAGGTAAATGTCCTCTTCACTTGAAACCTTCATTGACTTCTTTAATTCCCTGTATTTGTTGATGATGGGGTCGACGTCTTTGGATCTCTTCTTGCTTTTGGTCTTAGAGATGCATTTAGGGAAAAGCTTGCTAATGTCGGTTTCTTGAACCTCATTTAAGGAAGCAATATATTTGTTTCTCTCCTGTAATTCTGCACTTAATTTATTAAGACCCTGCATTTCAGTGCTTATTTTATGAATGTACGGATCTTCTAGGTGTTGCAGACTATCCGATAATTCATCTAATATTTTTTGCGTGTTTCGGTCTTCTTCCTCTCTCTTTAATCTCAGTGAGATGCTCTTTTCACTGCTGCTGCTACTGGGTAGATCAAAATCTTCTTCATTTATTCTTTTTGAATATTGATCTATTTCCTGCAGTAATTTCTCACTTAACTTTTCTGCGAATTCAGTTAAGTGTTGACTGCGGTCTTGTTGATCTGGCCATTCTTCCTCAGTAGCAATCATGTCAGATTTACAGGTTACAAGGGGCTCATTAGCTTGTATTCGATTAAAACTTTCTGACTTGGATATTGATTTGTCAGAATCTGTGCTCGATATTGAGATGGAATCGTATGGTAATCTAGTCGGACTTCTATGGGTTTTACCGAGGTTTTCGTCTAAGGATCGGCCTTCTGGTCTATTGGGTGATAGTCTATTCAAGCTCCAAGTGGAATTACTGGTGCTGCCTAATTTTGGAGAGCGATCTTTAGATCTTCTCCCTGGAGAAAGTCGTTCCAGGCTGGAAGAGCTTCCACTTGAGCTTGTATGGGATTGGGATCTTGATTCCAATATCCTTAAGTCTCCAGGCGACAATTTGTTTAAGCTCCAGTTACTACTGCTGCTGCTACTGGAAGCCCCCTGTACAATCGCCATTGCTTCGGCACTTTCAAGCTTTTCTAAATGCCTTCTCTTTGACCTTGGACTGCTTTGGATGACAGTTTCGCAGGTTTCATCCAACGAGTGTGCGACTTCGGCTGCAGCTTCGATAAGACTCTGCGGACCCAATGTTGGTGGTAGAAGAAGTTTTTCGGTAGATGGTTCTTCCTTCACCTCAGGTGTGGGATTTGGTAAATCTGAAACAATTAATATGAAATTTTACCATAATTTTGTAGACAAGGAATCTTTTGATATATAAATTGAGATACGCCCAGGAATTAATCGAACCTGTTAATCACGCTACTTGTGTAGATTGTGATGGCTATACGTATCTTAAGGATACATGAGGAATACGGACCTAGAATGTGTTTAAGTTTTTATGCTTATTACGTACCTTTTTCTAAAGCAGTTTTCTTTAGTTCTTCAGGTACCACACTTATGACGCTGTCGACAGAGTCTGGAGAAGAAACACCGCTCGAGTCACTATCCATGTCATCTGTTGCTGGATTGAATAGTTCGAGAGACATGAGTGTGGGCCGGCTTTTTACTATTGGCTCCGCGTTTCTAGATCCTCGAACTATTGGGAACGGAGGTCTTCTGCTTATACTTCCAGATGGTATTCCTTTGTTCAGCATTTCTTTTATCTGTCGTATCCGTTCTTTTCGCTTACGATCAGCTGATCTTGAGTCTAAGGTGTCGGTGCTTGATTTATTTGTTTCTTTCGGCCTATATTGTGGTATTTCTGGTAATTCTGCGACAGTTTGTAATGTAATTTTCGGATAGGGTTTGACGTCTTGTAACACTACCCGTGGTTGAAATTTGTTGGTCTCGGCTGTCAGTTTGTGTATTTCTTCGATGTCTTTGTTTATTTCTGCGAGTAATTCTTTGGTTACATCACTCGTTGGAGTTTCCTCTTCTTCTTTAATAGGAGGTATGGGATCTATTTCTTCAAAGACATCAATGGAGGTGTTGTTACTTAAGATTGGTAGAGGTTCCGGTTTTGCTATTGTAGTATCATCGGATTCAGACTTAGGCGGAGAGTTAGGCTGACTTTTGGACTGTGGCTTTAGCGGAACTGTTGCCACAGAGGTAGTAGTAGAGTAGTTCTTTAAGCTATACTGAGCTACTAAAATTTTGTTAACTGTGGTTGGTGCCTGTACAGAATTTGGCGAAGCCGGTGGTCTTATCAAAGGAAAAGCTTGTTTGATTCTAGGCGATGGCAAGCCTGGAGAGCTTTTCATTCGAGGTGACGTGGGAACCGAAGATACTTTTAGTCTTGGTGAAGTGGGTCCAGGCGATAATGGTGTGGGTGATAGTGGATCGCCCGATCCATCTGCTTTTGGGACGTAGATTACAGACGCAAAACTGTCTTCGGAATCTACACTGGTGTCGCTTTGAAGACTGCTGTCTTTTGATGAATCAGACCCATCTTCTTTGGAATGTCTTCGTTCAGGGTAGGTTTTGTCACTTCCAGTATTATTGTCGCTTGGCGTAGGAACTTCTGGTGCAGGTCCGTGATTTTTCCAACCCTGGAGCATTCTTACAAACACAGTAACCTTATCTATATTCGTTGTAGACGTTTTGAATTTGCTAGTGAGGCCGTTTTTTAGTGACTGGAATTTTTTGCCAGTTGTCGCGGAAGTGGAAAATATTGAGTCCCGGATGGAGTCTAAAACTCCGGGTCTCCGATAAAGGTACTCTTCATTCAGTGAGGCCTGTTTCTGAATATTTTTCCTCAACCTTTCCTTTTCTCTTAACCGCTCAACTGACATCAATTCCTCGTTGAGGGAAGTTTGTTTGAATACGCCCGGTTTTTTGCTTGATTGTAACCTAGGCGTATGTATTTTAAAGTTAGGCATTTCTTCTACCATACTTTTCATGTCGGTGGGTTTATCGAGATCTTCCTCGGCATCGTCTTCATTAATCGACTTCTTTTGTTTTACAAGCCGAGGTTTCTTCCGAGGTTCATTAATCTCTGGCACTGGAATTGCTGCTGGCGGTGGTTCGGTTTCCTCGCCACCCAAACTAGGTAAGCTAGATCTAGATCGGACTAGCGCTCGCCTCTCTATATCAGCGATGTCTGTCAAACTTCTCGACTTAATCGTTGACGCGTCTGAGTTTTGTGTGATTAATCTCGGAGGGAGTGCTTCATCCAGGCGTCGTAGCTCAATAGGTAGGTCAGCTGCGGGTGGTTCGGGCCGTAGGCAAGGTCGTTGTGGTACCCGAGCCCCGATACTCCATGATGGTAGGAAAGATCTCCGTCCCGCTAATCGTTGTAGTGCTCTTCTCACGAATGAGTAGCACGTCTCGTTGGGTGAGGAAAGTGATGATGATCCTGGAGAACCATCCCGACTTTTCCAAGGCTCAGCGTTACTGTAAAAAGTAAAATGTTTTAGACACTGGTTACGTTGTAGAATATGTTTGTACAGTGAATGATAAAACTTACTGTTCATTGTCAACAGACAGGAATCTTGGTGCTGGTGTTGGCGGGCACAGCGTGACTGGTCGATGCCAAGGGATCAGCACATCCTACACGAAAAAAGGAGTCTTTAATTTCTATTTACATAGAATGTACCAATTATTAACAGTCAACTCAAAATCATAGATAGCGCAAAATAATTTAGATTCAAAAGCTGTTCATACTCATATGTAGATGTGTACCTGTGAATGGAAGTTGCGACCCTCATGTTCCATAGCCCAGACAGTGAGAAGTAATCTTCCACCTATCCGGGTGACTCTAGCCAGCTCCCGTAGCGCCATCGCTCGCCTCTCCACCGTGGCGAAGTGGTGAACGACAGCGATGGATAGGACCGCGTCGAAGGACTCATCGCGGAACGGTAGGCACAAGTTATCGCACGCAACCACCTGCGAAGATGACAAGTTGTATACTGAAATCGATTGACTAATGCAGTACATAATTTATAGTAAAGCCATTGTGCACTATCAATTGGATTGCGGGGGGCTTAATTTGGAAAATTATTATACAAAGAATTATATCAAAGTACAAAATATAAGTCTATAGTTGCCAGGTTTCTTCTATAATTTGTCGGATGCAATGCTAGAATAATTGCATATGCATAAATACATCTAAGTTAATGTTATTTTAAATCCTCTATTTTATTTGATTTAAAAAATTTATTTTTAAAAAAAAGAATACCAGAAAACATGGTAACTTAAAATTAAAGTACAGAGTAATAGCATGCGGGCGGTACATTTAATTTTTTTCTAAAACATATAATTAATTAAGAATGTGGGTATTAGTGAAAATATAACAAAAATAACTTAATAATAAATGGGAATGAACATGCAGGTGGTACAAATGGGAATTATTTTAAACAAGTATTTTGTCATAAGTGAAAATCACGTAATAATAGCAATAATCAATAGCAATCTGTTGCTTTATTATTGCAATTGATAGAACGATGACGCGGTCCTAAGAATAAATCTAAGACAGTTTTTGACCTACTTCATCATCCACAGATGATTTCAATGATACAAGTTAAAAATGGGTGAACAAAATGATTTTGCGGTAACTGACCTCATTGTTGTGATGTCGCGCTTGCGTAGTGAGCCGGGTACACCGGTCCCCTCCTACAGTGTACACGGACGGATTTACGCTAAGGTATTTACCGTTTCCACATCCTGGAGACAAAAAGAACATTATATTTTAGTGTCTTGACATCATTGAGATAACATCAAAAGCATCTCCTTCGTCGCTGCCCTGTCGAACTCGATGAGATCCTTGGAAATCTTTATTTCATTCTAATATTTTCATAGTAGCTATGAAGTTTGGTCATATCTTTATTCTTGTACATGAGTTAGTACTAACTATAATGAGTCATCTATAATATTCTAAGACAACTTGTTTGTTGTTAAAGGGCATTTATATGACGTAGTAATGTCTTGCGTGGGTTTCATCAAATACATTCATTAATCTCCAGCAAATGTTTTACGAATTTGTGGATGTATTTAAAAGGTTAGAATAACACTTGCATAGGTTTGTTCCTGTAAAACACACCTACGGAAAGCGTGGGCAGTTACTTTATTGAATAATCTTTTTATTTACATGTCTTTAGTATTTTAATTTTACAAAAGATATCAATCAATTATTACTAACGACTGTTCTTCCCTAATTCGTTTGAAAGTGTAATTTTGGTCAATAGATTTGATTTTAGGTCAAGTGAACTTGATTGCATACACCAGATTCAACTTTTTTAAAGTTCAAACATGAGACATAATATGTTTTACAGTCATTGTATACTTCTTCGTATATATCCCGTCGCTTCTTAACATACGCAACCACGCAGTCATAGGCCCAACGATTTTAGTTTTTTGTCAAATCTATCAAATCATCACTACATGGGACATGAGACATTGCACGTTTTATAGCCATTGCATAGTCTATGTATCCCCTCGCTTCTTAAACTTTTTATTCGGCTTACTAAACAAACTGGAGACCTTACGAATGTTTGTAACAATGGGGATGATGACAGGGTATGAAAATTAAAAATATAATTAGTCCGTAACTTAGGTAATAAAAAAATATTAGACACGTATTTTTTTATTTTGTTGTATAATAAAACAATACTTAGATAAAACGAATCAAAGTTTAGGAGTGGGGGCTAAAACGTCAGTTCTTAGTATAATATCGTCGGGTTAGAAGTCAACTAGCCAATCTGCAAATGTCAAATTGTTGAGGAGGTGGTTATTAATAAAAACAATGTTGCCACAAATCAGTGATTTCTTAAAATCGATTCAAGTAAATGAATTTTATTAATATTTATGACCTTCTTTGAGTGCAGTAAAACAAAATTATGTAATTATTACCGGACATGAAGATATAGCAGATTGGTTGGTTTACTATGGCAATAAAAATAAAAATTACTGATTTTGTACATTATGAAAGTGGCCAATGTGTTAGATTGGCAAGTAGACTGATGTGTGCCAAATCACATTAGAATGAAATCAATGATTTAAACTCGCTTAACTGCAATATATGACGTTACGTTTTAGGTATTTTCTATTTATTCTGAAATATAGGTAGGTAGATAAATATAAAAAATTAAAGTCTGTGCGTGTTAAAATAATAATATTGTAATAGAAAGTGTTACACTTAAAATTAAATGAATTAGACAAAAATAAATTGACACAGAAATGTTGTTTTTGAAGTCAACTATAAGAGACTGGGTGAATAACGTATTCACCCGAGCTATTCGCTATCTTCATTCATGTCGGGTTCTGCGTGGCAGTCTCTTGTCGTATCAGAACAAGGAAGGTCTTGGTAATAGTTATGATACATTCTTGGTATTTGGTGGTCTGTGCACAATTTTAAAAGATCTTTTTTCTTCGCAGCTGATACTTTAAATTTCCCTGAGTAGGCTGCTATAGGATAATTTAATGCTTTACCTCGTTTTTTCTTTAACTCTAATGCTGTAAATGGTTCATTACTGTCAAAGTTTTGTTTAATAAATATTGTATTAGGTACCTCTTTTCGATATTGTATCCATACAGCGTCATTGATACCAATTTTGTGCCCTTCATTCGAGGCCTTGTATTGGTTTAACATACCAAAGTCTTTGAAATCATCGTGAAGTAATGTATTTACATTGTATGGCCGAGGATTAGTACGTGCTAATCGAACAACCTGTGCCCAACCGTCAGGAGTATACACAGGTATATTTTTTGATTTCAATTCAATCTTTGAATGAATTGAATCACATTCCATATGAGTGTGTCCCGTTTCAAAGAATTTGTGATCAATTATCTTTAATGTCGAATGTTTCTTTAACGTGAGCAAGCACATGGACGAAAAATGATAGTTTTTCTGTTGACCGCCGCATCCATCTGACATCATTTTTACTGCCTGGATGTTTTTATTTGCTGCAATAAATGCATTTATACACGTTGAAATTTCGATGGTCCCACGTTTTCCTTCAGTTTCATCCCACATGTAGCATTCAACGTTTTGGTTTCCTAGATTATAAATAGTTAAGTTATAAACAGCTAACTTTCGTACGTAGAAAAATGGGCCACTTGCACCTTTAGGTGTATTTAGTACTGCTTCCAAGTCAAAGTTAAATGCAAGAACTGTTTCATTATTTTGTGCTTCCAGCTTATCTTCATCTCTACATTTGCGTGCTTCATCTCTTCTTAATAGATGCCGTGTGTGATCTTCTATTTTCTTGGCTCTTTCTTCATCATTCATTTCTCGAAATGCCAAACAGTGCTTGCATAAATCCTTTTTTGGTTTGTGAAAACTCAGTTTGTATTCTCTGAAAACTTTGCGGTATTTTTCAAAGGATACTACTTTCACTGCTTTAATTAAACATAGTTTTTTATATTCGTTATACATCGTTGATATGTTAAGAGTTGAATCTAAATATTTTACCGTACTATCACGTCGACAGTAATGCGATTCTACAGCAGGAAAGGAAAGTATGTGGTCCCTAAGAAATTTTTCTTCATCTGGTTTTAATTTATTTGGGGGTGTCTTTTTCCCTCTTTCGTCTGGTTGTAAGAGGCCGTGCTCATTAACTTTTTTTAAAGCTCCTTTTACAAACCCACCAGTAATATTGAGAGTATCTAAAAAGAACTCCCGACACACGACTTTCTTTTCATTACCAACACTTAATGTATAAGCTAGGGTAAAATTCCGCCTGGAAGGACCTTTGGTAGTGTCTCGATTTTTTTTATTCTTAGTCACATGCTTCAAAACAAAATGACGCTGTTCCATAAGATTTGGCATATTTCGAAATTGAGAATAAATTTTTTCTCTCTCATCTTGAGGGACACCCGAAATACACTTGTGTTTAGGAGTATTTAAACATTTTGCTGGTTTTATTGGTCTGGCTTGTATTATTCTTCCTTTCCTTGTTTTATATGATTCACCTTTTAAACGCTTACTTTTTTCTATATTCACTTTCCACATGTTAGGGTCTTTTACTTTTCTCCTTTTCGGATTATTTTGACTATCGTTCTGCTCGTCTGTATTTTCTACATCAAATTCTCCAATTGTTAATATCGAAGGTGATTCATTGACTGCTCGGCTGGTTTTAGATGTTCCTTTACGTCTATGTTTCTCTACTCTATCTGTTAAATCATTGTAATTTTCATCTGACGTACTTGAATCATTGTGATTTTGTTCTAAATAATTAGGGTCTTGGACGGAATCATCACTATCAAGCTGTTCATTACTCAAAATATTGAAGACTTTACGCGTTTCCGGTTACATTTGGGGTAAAGGGGAAGAAGCTGGTGAAAGGGGCGAATTATTATTTTCAGTCATTAGTAATGAACAGGCTTGAGCTTCTATGCTTGTTTCTCCAAGTTCGAGTGTAGTTTCGTGTGGTAGTGGTGAAATGTTCTTCTTGGACATATGAAATAATAATATTAAGGGAGTTAGTGGTGAGAAGGCAGGAGCTTCTATGCTTGTTTCCCCAAGTTCGTGAGTAGTTGTGTGAGGTAAAGGCAGAATGTTTTTCTCAGTAATTTGAAATAATAAGGGTGTTAGTGGTGAAAAGGCTGGAGCATCTATGCTTGTTTCTCCAATCTCGTGTGTAGTTTTCGGTGTTAAAGGTGGAATATAAGCTGTTGTTTCTTTCGTTTCTTTTGAAAACTTTAGATCTGTGAAAAATAAAAACTTCTTAGTGTTCACCTAGGACACATAAGTACCACTGCAAATTTTTCATTTTTGGGTCGAGAATATAGGTTTAGCATTGTAAATTAGCCATTATCAAAATTTTATAAATTTTAATAATCATAAAGGAGTCTACACACTGAGGCCACCGACATGTCGGCAACTTGTAGGATATAGGGCGCCCCTACAAGTTGCCGACATGTCGGCGGCCTCAGTGTGTAGACTCCTTAAAACATACCATCACCAACATTGTGTTTATGTAAAAAATTGCAAATCTATAATTTTAAAACAGATAATTATCTGAACAATTTTTGTGTTTTAAATCCAACAGTTTAGGCTGTTTATTGTTAGCAGAAAATGATATTATTTAATCCTATTATCCTACTAATATTATAAATGTGAAAGTGTGTGTGTTTTGATGTTTGGATGTTTGGATTTGGATGAAATTTGGCATGCATATAGCCTTTGACACGGAAAAGAACATAGGCTACCTATTATCCCCATTCCTTTAGTAGTTCCCGAGGGAAAATTTAAAATTAGTGAAAAACGTAAATTTTGTCAGAAGTCTAATTCCACGCGGACGAAGTCGCGGGCAAAAGCTAGTATATTATAAATCTTCTGTTTGTATTAATAAAAAACAAAAATACCTGAATGGGAATCGCCTTTACCGCAGTTGAGTTCTGGACTAGCTGTAGGTGTATTTTCTATTATATCTGTAATGCAATAAAAGCAAGAGCAAGCTATAGATTAAACCCCGGAGCTAGTAGGTATTCGATAAGCACCTTCATGCATTTTAGTCATATTTATGCAATATCACATCCATTTGTTTTCAGGCTACTCTGGCACATAGACACCTTGCAAACTAACATACCATTATGATAAAATACAAATGGTGTTATTAAATAGAACCTTTAAACTTGTTCCACATAATTCTATTCATCATTTTCTCTGTATAGGTAAATGATTAAGTACCTATGTTTTCTGAATAAATAAAGCCCACCATCACCTCGCCCTTATACTGCAAACACACCATTTAACAACGAACTAAGTATCCTTAGCAAAGTGAAACTTGTTGAAAAACTAACTTTTATAGGTTATAATACAAAACACTTACCTGTATTATCACTTTCATCGCCAGAACTGTTATCGATACCTGCGTTTTTAAGTATCTGACGCACACGATTATTTCTTCGAAGCATCTTGTATTCACAATTTAATTAATATTTAAAAAAATTGACAGACAGCCCGCTCGCTCGCCAGTAACGGAAAAACTTAAAAAAGTTATTTATGGTTAGCAACACTTGTACGCGCCAGTGTTGACACCATAATTTTCAAATGTGTTGTTAACGAATGAGCTGGGTAAATAAAAATAATATTTATTTCTTTAAAATATGATGAAAATAAGTTTGTAAAACTTTAGGAGTAGTAGAAAAAATATTTAAATTATTTCTGATCCAAGTTAATATTGTGTTCAATCTGCCAATTAGGACAGTTCATTAGAGCACCTCCATATTTTAATAACTTTTAGAACCACTATCTGTCACACACACTGTTTGATTATTGTATTTTTAAACAATTAAGTTACTTTTGAACTGAGGTGAAGTATCCAATTTGCCACATATGCCAGTTACACACTGTGGCTTTTGTTTTATATGTTATATTTCACTAAAGTAAATTATTACATCTGCCACTTAGACCAGTTACAGACTGTGGTTTTTTGTTTGTAGGTTAAATTGCACAAAAGTAAAGTTTTCAATCTGCCACTTAGGCCAGTTGAGCATTTTGGTTTTTGTTTGTAGGCTTTATTGCACGTAAGTAAAGTATCCAATCTGCCAGTTACGACAATTGCGCATTGTGGCTTTTGATTGTAGCATCATATTGCACTAGAGTAAAGTATTCAATCTTCCAGTTTGGCTAGTTTTGCATTGTGGCCCAAATCACATAGATTAGTTTACCTCTGCAGAAATTGTATTTTTTGCAGTTACGTAGAAAATAATTAGTCTGTATCTTGTGGATTTGAAGTACCACAGATACAATATTTTGGCACAGTATTGTGTCGTCAGAAAATAATAATGTCATGTATTTAAGTCAAAACTGTCAAAATTTCACTTTGGTTAGTTGACTATTGTACCGACGATATGTACTGAGAAGTGACGTCACGCGACATTTCAAATCAATATATCTTTGAAACTATTCGTTTCCGTAAGAAAATAAAAAATACGTGTCTAATGTTTTTAAATAATCTACAAGACGGACATTAAAATAAAAATTAGTCGTCTACCCTATTTGACCATCACATGACAGTAAGTATATCAACATTCCCATCTCCGTTTGGTATGAAGATAGCAGTGCTCCGAATGACTTTTTGATCTTTCCATTCCTATATCGCTTCTTTTATATTCATCAATCTCTTTGCATGCAGCGTTCCTTGCTCAAAGAAAATTTTTAATGTAGTCCTTTTTTGAAATCATATGTAGTTGCAGCAGTATTATGTTACAATGACCTAAGTAACAAAAATAACGATCATATTGTTAGAGTGGACACCAAAATCTTATCCCTGTTATTCAGCTTTGTTCTTAAAGTTCTCATTTAATATGACATAGTAATGTCTTGCTTGTGTTTCATTAAACACATTCATTCATCTTCATCATCAACAGCCTATAAATGCCCACTGCTGAGCAAAGCCTCTTCTGACATGGAGAAGGTTTGAGCATTAATCACCACGCTTGCTCATTGCGGGTTGGCGATTACAAATTTATAATTAGAAATTATAAGCCCAGGTTTGCTCACGATGTTTTCTTTCACCGTTTGTCAGTGGTGTCTAGATATAGATAGTCTTCGAAAGTGCATATAACTCTAAAAAAATCACGTTTCAATTATTGAAAATGTTAGAGTTCTTCATAAATCTGCGTAAGTCGTTTGACTAAACTCATTGCTATTGTGCTATGTGTAACTACTGATCACGTGATTATTTTGATGCACAGTTGTGGCACTGATACTTCTTCAGCCCCGTGTGAGTCTCCAGGTGCCTCTTTAATTTGCCTTTAGTTGTGAACCCCTTTCCGCAATAACTGGTATAGAATAACTGTGCTATAGATTGCTAATTCTCTATCCTCAAGGTACTTGCCGTTGGTTGGTTTCGAACCCGCTTCCTCATGCATAAGAAGCGGGCCTCTTAACTCTAGTAAATGTTTTACGAATTTGTTAATGTATTTAAAAGGTTAGAATAACACACGTTCACATATTTATTTAGATATCTAAAGAACAAAGAAAGACAACAGTAACTGCATTTCGCTCTCGGGAACGGGTGGGCGTCACTGCGAATATGCAAGTATGTTCCTACATGTTATTAGGTTGTAGAATTCTATCGGAATACTTCGCTGGGATCAAAGTAATGTGACAGACGAAGCTCATCCCATTTCAAAGATTTATAAAATATTTTACATTGCTTGTTGCATAACGTCTTGGTGAGAATTCCAGCTGTATTTCCTCGAATAGGTAGACATGCACGAATGTCGCGGAGAACCTAACGGGTAACCGGGGCTCCGGCTCGACGTGCAGGAGAAGGAACGGGGTGGTTTGTAGTCAGTAAGAGTCTGACACTCCCTCCCGCCTCACCCAGGCGAGAGCAGTCATTCGATGATTTACCCCCTTAAAAAAAGACATGCACGAATACTGGAATTTATAATACTATCTCAGTATACTACAAGTTGAGTGTGAGGATATTTTTACTAAATATGTAGGCTTCATATTAGTAGTTAGTAGATAATGAAGATTATTTTATTTTAATTTGAATAAGAACATAATAACAAGGTATGTTCATCTGAGAGTAAGAACGACAGATATGTATCATCAGCCACTCTTAATTTGATCTCTTCTAACGAGCAGTCCAGTCAAATGGCTAAATCAGGAAATGATGTAGTCATATTCAGCACCTGACTATGCACTCTTTGACAAAGGCTTCCTCGAGAAAGGAGAAGACGGTTGCCATAATATTCATATTTGGCAAGCGATTTAGAAACTGCAGTTTCAAATTTATAAAAGAGCGCTGTTGCCTCGTAGAGATGGTGGTCACACAAATGTGTGATAAATGTTTGTCATACCTAGGTAAAGCCTAACCAACTACCTTACCAAGTAAAGAATGTACTTACCGACATCACAAACAAGGCTGCCAGGCTCGAGTTCAGAGAGGAAGGCCTGCACGCCAGGCGCGGGCGCTCGCGAGCTCTCGTCTCCATCGTCTCCTGCTTGCTCGTAGACGTCGTGCACGTACGCCCGTTCCAGCGCAGCGCCCCGTGCAGCCGACTCGCCCGCCCCCTCAGCAACCGCGCCCGCGCCCCCATCCGCCATCACCGCACCGCCATTGCACTGTGCTGCAAAATTAAATAAATAAATCAGTAAATTCTTGCCACCAGTGCGTAATCATGTACTCTTTAACTTTACAGGCATTAGCTTCACTTGTCGAAAAACGTTTAAATTAAGAACTTAACCAGTCATGGTTGGTTTAGTTCTTAATTTGAAATTGCACTATTTTATGTGCAGTGTTTTCAATTCGTTGATCACATTGACGTCATTTGAAACGTCAAACATCGAATACGAAGTCGTGACATGACGTTACACATAAATGCATTATTAATCTGTGACGCTAACAAAACATTCTATCGATTGATCTTCTAAATTTAAACGACACAGTTCGCGTGGGTTTCTCGTGACTGTCGTCATCTGCTCATGATTTTTTAATGAAATCAATATTAGCGTTGCAAAGGCTGTGATCAATAATTCTACCAGTGACTTTGCATGCACCTTTTTATAGAAATAATGACATAATTTGTCCTAGCAATACAACGTAGACGTCATGCTGACGCAGTACCAAAGCCATTTTGTATCTATAGCGTGGAAGTTTTATGTTGAACTTAGTTATTTAAATAATTGTACTTCGTTTGAAAATGTATAGTGGAAAAAACGAAACATTTTGCAATGAATACTGAATTGCCTCATGACTGCCTCATTGGCCGAGTGGTCGCAAATGCGACTGCCGCCAAGGAGTCTCAGGTTCGATTCCCGGGTCGGGCAAAGTACTAGGTATATTTTTACAGTTACTGGGTTTTTAAAACTTTCTCAGTGGTAGCACAGAATCTGGACATTAGACAGAATCATAACATAAATAGTGAAAAGTGGGTGTTACATTGTACAGTGGCATTAAGTGCCGTAATGTGCACCTCTGCCTACCCCTTCGGGGATAAAACCCAGTGATGTTATGTTAGGTTCTCAATGTTTGGTGTTTCAAAAGAGTTTGGAATTTGGGATACAAAAAACCCATAAACTGTCAAATTTATTAGATGTATTTCAACTATGTAGTTCCTCTGTTCTCCCATTATTGTTGTAACTGATCAGGCGGAGTTAATTACATTGCCATTATAAACAAAAGCTATGTTTAATTGTGTTTATCACGTGTAGCGTGACCCGCTGACCCGGGGCGTACTCCCTTATCCCGGGACAGGGCTGCCGCTCTACAATATCTTTAATGCGAAAAATTATTCCTTGTGTAGTATTCCTTTGCCTTTCCTATATTCGACGAAAAGTGAGCCTTGTGATTCATGTGTTGTGAGTACAATTTTTAGACCAAATCATAGCCTTTAGGCTAATGACTTTTTAAACACTGAACAGTGAAAATCCTATCGCTTTGTTTTAATATTTGCTATAATTCTCTAGGCAGCCCTGTTCGCTCGGTTCATGGGCTCGCCCCAGCACCTATCAGCTTTTAACCCCATAAATCGCAACGGTTCGCAGACGTGACTATGCTACTTCCGAGTTTCCCTAAATTGAACGCCCCCACTTTTTGCGCCCAACACTGGTAGCGAATTCCACGAGAATTTCCCAAAGGCAATTTAGTGTATACGATGTAGCTAGCTGCTTTTTAAATTGTTATTACAGAATGCAGATGTTTCGATTTCTTCCGTTCTATTTTAAGACTGTTATTTAAATTGGATAGTCGTGGAACTTGAATGTATTTCTTAATAAATCACCATGCCTGTTTTTCCTTGAGAATGGGGAATTAGCTGTCTACAGCAGACTTATTATTTACCAGTTATTTTACACTGTCGACCAAATTACCACGTGATCAGTAGTTACAAATAGCACAATAGCAATAAGTTTAGTCAAACGACTTACGCAGATTTATGAAGAACTCTAACATTTTCAGTAATTGAAAGCAGGGGCAAATTTTGTACCCATTTCCCATAGCACCAAAAGTATAGTCAAACCAAATCCATATTACGAGCGACTGTTATATTTATTTTATTGGTTGTAACATCAGATCTGGTCGTTAGTAAACAAAGAATCAAATAAAACATGTGACGCATGTGCCACGGGTGCTTGCCCAAACATTTTATTAACAAAGTTTTTGAATCAGCTAAATGTTCGGGCTCTTAGCCGCCCTTAACTGTGGCGTCCTTTTGTAAGGACAGCTATTTATAGGTTACACGGGGAAGTCGTGGCTTCGTTGAATTTTTTTTTTGTGGTTTCTGAAGACGATCTGTTAAGTCGTAATGTTGTATCATAAACTATGGCGATAGTTTGATATACGTGCCAACATTGAAATTCAGTATGGACTGATCTTCTATTTTAATAGTAGGTACTCTACTATGAAAAACGTTTTTTACATTACCATCTCCTGATGGTAAGCGAGATTTGGTCTGTATGGACATCCTAACATCAAAGAAGTCACAAACGCATTGTCGGCTTTTAATTGTAAAAATAAGTAATTACTCTGTGTTTACCTATTTATAAACCCCCTTCTGACTAAATAATCATGAAGATATACTTATAATACCAAAATGTTCTATCGATTAAAAAAAATGGGTAACGTCTCTCGCCTTCCCCGCTCCTTGGAAGAGGTCTCGTATCTACTTACGGTGTGACCTACTTAGCAAACGAATTCTTAAAAGGACCCTTCCTAATATACACTACCTATAAATAAAAGGAACTTTTTGGTTTGGCTCATATTAAATCTGTTTGTATTGTAGAAACTATAATATTCCTTCCAATACACTCCATTTTATCGCATCAATCAAATTCCTCGTATGTAAACAACAACATAGCTAATATACAAATCTATATAATAAACATAAGTCTCCAAGGACTAATTTAACATAGTTTTGTATGATAGCACGTTTATAAAGTAATCGAATAGCCGGGGAGGGCGCGTGCCGGTTGCCTAGCAACGCATCTGGGACATAAACCGGGTCGCCGGGAAACCTTCAACCCAACACCGGGGTGGCCGACTGAATGCACCGATACCATGTACGGGTAGTACGCGTCTCTTACCATTTGAAATTCAAAACGTTTTGGGAGCCATTTTGAAGATGTTTCTTCTATTTCCTTAAAATTATATTGTTCTTCGTTTGATATATTTGATATGTTAACAGAACATGTCTAATGCTCACGTGTCTGAACAGTGATGTTAAGTTTATATAATCCATTATATTCAAGTCCATGAAAAAGTGGTTAAAATGCTTTTTGCTCTGCCAAGAAGAAATGGTCACAATTTACACTTTCTAGAATTAGAAACACGACCGAGGAAAAACCTGAAATTCAGTTCTTTGTTACCTGTGCACCAATTTGTTAAATAACTTGTATAAGATATAATTTTATTATTTTATGCACAAAATTTTATTATGGCACATAAGGTGAAGTTAGTCCCATATGGCATTCTCTACCAGTCAACCTTAGGGTTTAAGTAGAAAATCAGCGAAAAATAAGGTACGGAGAATAAACTGACAGCAAAGAAAGAGAGAAAAAAGGTAAATATTAAATAATACTAGCTATACATGTATATTATATTATAGTGTATATGTATATGTTTTAGTTATAGCTAGTTGGTTTGTCCAGGGCTGGGCATTAGTGTGGGTCGCAATGCGCTGTGCGCTGCCTATCTGATAACTATTTGTGCCTTTGCAATATTTTATTTGCCCTAAAAAATGTGCCTCGCTCGTATTTCCATCAACGTCATTTGAAACGGATTAGTCTTCAAAAGGCATTTATTGATCCCTGTTGCAGTTTGCAGCTTTATGTACGAATCGACTGATAGCTCGTATGACCAATACGATTTGAAAATAGTCGGTCAGCTCAGTTTTTCTTTGTTGTACACTATTCAACGTAGATTTGCTATTTAGGTGGTGTTTTTTGAATTCAATTGTGACTTTTAGTATGTATCGTGAGTACATAATAATATTCTAGTAAATTCTTATTAGGACACCATTATTGAAACTATCTGCTATCTACGTATCAATAGAGAACTTCATCAATTTATTTTTGGGCCTTACCGATTCGAAACAAAATACTGAATCACATTTTCTACCCAAAAGGATATAAAGAACAATTTTCATTAAGGGTAAAGAAAATATGGTACCTAAACACTAAAAACATTAAGGTAGGAAGCTACGAGTAATAAAAGCAAATTACTGTACAGAACTTGCATGCCGTTAAATACACAAAAGCTGTTGTCTCCATACAAATTACCTTCACTAAGCCGAATGCTTTGTCATTTCACAATAATGAATGGTTTATACCTATACTGGGTAATCGATCGACAGAAATGAGCTGCCGCTAACGTATTCACCAGTTATTGGACAAAATGAGTCCGAGGTTTCATAGCCCTATCGTAAACGAATTTTGTAGTTGAAAATAATACAATTCTTATGTTGAAGCTGTTCTTTTTTTTATTTATCGTAATAATACGCCTTTTGATCGAATTCTATCATTAATATATTTACCATAACTTCAACGAAAAAAAAAATTATATGAATTCTCGTGTAGTAATTTTAAATTGACAGAAAATAATAGATCCGTCTCAACGATACACATATAGAGAAGATTGCTGTACTGATGCAAATCCTCATATTTTTATTAATAACAGTGTTGTATATAGCTAATATAGCAGAAATTAGTTTAGGGGTCAAATCTGTGTCTAGTGTAGGCCGTCTAACAGCACAATAACAGATGCCCCGAGACCTAAAAACAGAAAAATAGAAGGATCGAGACATTGAACTACTGGGCCATAATCAAGTTAAGTTACTTCTTGAATATTAATAAATCTGTTTATGCATGAAGACACAAGAAAATCCTCAGTAATATTCGTATTTTTAAACAAACCCAACTCAAGTTTCTTATACGTATAAGATCCGCCAGATACCAGGCGCACAGAAAACAGTAGGAGATACAAATATTAAAATGTTAAATTAAAACCTCGTTTGTGTGCATCGTTCGGTGGGGCGGGTCGACGGCCGCGCGACCTACTTGCAGCTGAAGCCGCGTGCTGCAGACACCCACCATGAAATATGAACGGAATCTGATACTGTTACAACGTGTCCATTTGAATAATATGGAAAATAGACTCCCATTTTCTTAACGACCGAGTAAGGAATACTTTAGGTTGAGTTGTATTCTCT